CGGGAGGGGGGAGGGGGGAGGGGGTAATTAAGTTTATCATAAACTTTATTGAAATAAACATTTTTAAAAATAACGATAAATAATTTGAGACGAAAGAATTACGATTGTTTGGGCTTTTTTCCGTAAGATTGTTTGGTTTTAAATAGCAAGAAATTTAGTTTCTGTTTCATATGTCCTATGTGTTTGGCCCTTTTTGATGTTTAGAGGTGCATGATTATTATAGGGAAATTATATTGTAAGGTAACGTTTGAAAATTACATTGAGTAACATAGACGTCTTGTTCCTATATAGGACTAAACTTCATTACTTTTCCACGCATTAAATATTTCGTTTTCACAAAGTGAAATGTTTCTACGCATCAAATACTTCGTTTTCACAAAATAATTTCTTTTCTCTCTCAACCTCACAAAAAAGACAAGTGTGTTATATGATATAATTATTGATAATTTAAGTTTAAATTCAATACATTAACAATACTTAAAAGCTTTATTTCAGATTGAGAGTTTGTTTAAAAAAATATTTTTATCTTACACAAGATAATAATAAAATGTATACACCCATCTTGATCTCAAAATTTCACTCATGAAATTATATTGACTTATTGTTATACAATATGATATTATTTGTTATTGTTGTACTAAGAATGTTTAAATATTTATGTAATTAAATCACTTAAAACATAATTACAAGTAAATTTATTTTTTAAAAAGAGAGAAAACAACCCAAAAATAAAAATAGAAAATACTCTTCATGTTTGGTTAGGTTCAAATGGTCTCTTAGATATCTCTTGTATCACTTATATTAACAGTGAACACATTTAATATTCGATCGGAGAGAAGCAAGTTCTTCACATAGTATAACCTCCAATAATTTAAGAGTTAAAATTCAACACACAAATAATGTTTAAAATATTTTCAGAATCGAACTACTTAAAAAATAATTGCAAATACCTTTATTATAATAGAACAAAAAATGACAAAATAAAATAAAATACAAAGGTCTCTTATATTTGGGTAAGTTCAACACTTCAACTAGTCCTCTAAATTGTTCATGAACAATTTTAATTTTTAAAATTTGTCAAGTTCACTTCTATCTTTGTCAAATATAATTGTTAAGAGTTTATGAAAATAATAAACGAGAAAAACACATTTAACATGAAATCTTTAAAAAGGAAAATTATGTGTATAAACAAACATATACTAGTTAATTAGTTAACATAGTTATAGTTTGTCTTAATTACAATTCACGACCTATTTTTAGCTATAATTACGCGGCTCAGCTTTTTAGTTTTGTATAATTCACATGTTTGTATAATTCTGAATTTGTATAATATAATTTGTACAACTTTTCTATATATAATCCAGAATTTGTATAACTATTAACACTTCTGATGTTTGTAATTGTATAAAATTCGTTATTTTGAGTTTATACAAAAATAACTGAATTATACAAATGTACTCGCGAATTATACAAAACCTGTGAATTATACAAACGAGACAACTTAAATTGTAGCTACAACCCGTAAATAATGTAAACTATAGCTATGGAGCATAATTAAGTTTACTATAGTGACTATTTGCGAAAGTTTCCAATTTAAAATTTAAAATTGTAATTGGGGTTCGTTTCAACCCAATATAACATGGTTAACAAACCCATTAATCACTATTGGGTCTACAATCTACATGTGATTTTTCGTTCTGGAATGACCCAAATATTCATTCAAGCCCATTAATTCAATTGGATACTATACCTTAGCTTAATCATAATAAAAAGTGATTATATAATAATAATATGATAAAGAAGAGTTAATTAGTAGCTTCAAGAGACTTCCATGTCCAATAGCAGTGACGTGAACTCATTTAGTAGTTGACACGTGGCCAACTCCCATTTGATAAAATCATAGTCCTATTACATCCTAGGTGTCTCCCGAAGCATCTATTCTTCAACTATTAAATGGACAATTACAAACGCAAATGTATCGACAACAATTAGCAAACTAATTACTTCGATATACTACATAAATTTCTTGTTAATTCTATGGCTTTCAGATCACTGGTAAGTCCCAATTTCCATTACATAATTACTTGGTGATCACCAATGCTACGTTGTAATTCATCTTTAATTATATGCTTCATTATCGATATCTGTATTACTATATTAATGCTAGAGCTATTTTTGGATTGTTGCAGTCTGGTCTAAAATCCACATTAATGAATCACTTAAAGGGAAGCTCATCATTAAATTATGCAACAGCAGCCACTTCAAAGCTTAAGCCAGCTTATTCACTCAAACAGATTGTTCCCAAGTAAGTAGCTTGATTATTGGTTTCAAAATCTAGAATTCAGAGTAAGTAACATTCACACAAAAGAAAACTAGAATTAATTGCGATCCGTTCTTAAATTTAGAGTATTTGTTTGATTTGATGATGGCAGATCACGGAAGGGAGATTTCGTGCCAGTGTGTATGGCGCTAGGAATGATCGGACTGTCAACGAGTTTCGGGATACACACAGCGATGCAGCAGCTGAGGCGCGCCCCTAATGTACATGTGAAGAAATCACGAAGGGAAACTGTGCCAGAAATAGTGGAACCAGAACATGTTGCGGAAGAGTCAGAAAAGTTTGTTAATAAATCTTTGTTCCGAAAGGTGGCTCATGCTAGCAGTACTCGTACCGGAGACATGATTTATACCAAGTTAGTACTTAATTAGTATTTAGTTATAAGTAGTACTATTTCGTAATTGCTTTTCAATTTACTTTTTTTTACTTTTGTGTTGCAGGAAGCCAGGTGTAGAGACGTTGAAAACTATAGGAGTGGATCCAATGATGTAAATGAAAGGCTTGGTTGCATTTTAGGCTTCAATTTCTAATTCTGTAATATGCCTCAAAACATGCACGGTGAAAAGCTATTAGTAGATATGTGTAGATGTAATAAGTTTACATGTTGGTGATATCTTGATGTTGTGCATGTTAATGAGTATATATATTATAAATAAATATATGTGGTACAGCTTTGTGAATGCTATAGCAAGTCTAATGCAATTGGGCTATTTTCCAATGCCATGTGATCTTTCTTTGCCTTATCTAAATGGATTGGAGGACTTTCGAGTACTCTGTTGATTAGTACGTTAGAAAAAGAAAATTAGACACCTACTTTTACAATTTAAAGAGACAAAATATATAATTTTTCCTAAAATATATTCACCTAATTAAGTTTATGAAAGACGTTAGGCTTCGATTTATGTCTAATGGCGATCCACGGAAAGCAAGTATATAAAGCAAGACAAAAGACGTCATCCTTACTATGTAAGTTTTGTTTATAAGAATACAAATCTAGTCAAATTTCAATATGAATATTGAACATTAAATAAAAATTTTAATACAAATATTGAACATCAAATAGAAAAAAACAAAAGAAGAAAAAACTCCTTAAATGCAAACATTTTTTATGTTATACTTTTTTTCTCGGTAAAACGAATTTGGTGGTTAAAATACTTCGAAATGAGTTACTACCAATCGGGAAATCTACCTAATTATACCCAAATTACCTTAGTTACATTGTTTTGAATAAAATTGTACGTGTATATATAATCTAAACATCCTTTATACATATTGTAATATTATTGTTGTCCAAATAAAATGAGTCGATGAGATTATAGATAATGTACTCCTTGTTGTGACCAACAAATTGGGAGTAGAGTGGTTTGTCAGCCAAAAGAAAAGAACGATAAAAAAAGGGAAAACAAAAACATAAACTTATATAAGACATGAGTCACCGCTAGCGCAAAGTGGACTTGTTAGCTGTAGACGAATGTCCTTAATTTGCATGTCTATCACTTCGTGTCACTTATCGATGTCTCCGTCAAATGTATATATATATATAAAAGAAGAACCATATATTCCTACAACAGTTCAATTAACCTTTGTTAAGACTACTCATATTTTACATCAATGGCATTCAGGTCTTCGGTAAGTCAAGTTAATTTATTAGTTTTTGGAGTTACATTTTGATTGTTCAAATGTGTGCGTTATACATTCATTGGATTTTTTTGTTTAACCTTGATGCAGAGTTTGTGGAAATCTATGGCTACTCGTGTTAGCGCAAATTCTGCTTTTGCAAAATCAAATATTACCAGGTCGTATGCTAGTACTGCTGAGCATCCAGACGCTAAGCCCAGGTGAATTTTGGTTTATAGCACTTGTATTACAAAAATGTTTAGTTTTTCATTTTAGAAATAAAAGCAAGATGTTGATGTTAAGTTGCAAACAGGGGATTTATGAAAGGAGATTTCGTTCCAGTGTACGTGGCGTTGGGACTAATAGCGCTATCAGTGGGTTTTGGTTTACAGACGGCGATGCATCAGCTGAAGCGGGCACCCAATGTATCTGTGAAGAAATCAAGGAGGGAAACTATACCGGAAGTCACCGAACCGGAAGAGGTTGTGGATGAAGCAGACAAGTTCATAAAGAAATCCTTCTTCCGCAAGGTGGCTCATGTTCAGGATTTTGATAATCAATCTGTCATGCATGATCCTATCCGTGGGGATGCTCTTGCAAGGTACTTGCGTTCATCTCTAATATCATATTTGTAATTTGTCCCAGGCTAAGCTCATGATATGTATTGTCCTGTTAAGATTCACTACGATACCATATTTGTCACGATCCAGGCAGGCTCATAACATGTATTGTTTGTTGAGATTTGGTCAGGTTTGCCCCTCCTAACGAGGGGCAATTGGTCTCTCATACCATACCTTGTCACAGGCCAAGCTTGACATTAATTTATGGTCCGATTTGACCCAAAAAAATTCGTGTTGGTCTAGGTGATCATATCTTTGATTAGTTATTTATTAGAATAGTCAAAAGGATTTGATGTAAATAAAGAAATGTTAATCTCCTGTATCAACTTTTAAGATTTAGGTTAGCTTATTGAAGGCTTACAAATCCACTCCTACCTTATATATATTTCTCTTATCTACGGGAAGATGCACATTGAATTATTGAAAGGGAAGTTATTGAAAGGAAAGTCATCTCTATTTTGCTATTTAAAGTTATAATATACCGTATTTATTTTACTTTATATATACATATATTAAAAAAATTGTGCTTTAATATTTGTGATTTTCTTGGTGTCATTGTAGGGAACCTCATGCAGTGACATTGAAATCTGTGGGAGTGGATCCGTAATTGAAATAAGCTTTATGCATTCCGTAATTGAAGTACTTTGAAGGCGTTGTGGCGACGTTTTCTCATAATTTTTCAAGAGATGTATATATCTATCGTTGCAGCATTAAATAAATAAATTAAAAAGCATTCAAACGCCAATATGTATGTATGTAAAACATATTTTCCAGCTAATTATGTTAGAGAGTTGAAACAAGCACTAGTTGTATGTTTATGAGAACTTATCTTAGCTTTGAAATGCTAGAAACAGGGCTGGATAGCAAGTTTTGGGTTGAATTTGCAAGTCTTACAAGAAGAATAGATCTTTCACTATTTGGACTTTAATTTCAATAAAATGGATCCATCTATTTCCACCCGTACTCTGTAAATTAATATCAATTTCTGAACAAGAGACAAATAAGCATCCTCATTTTTAATATGAGTTTAACGTCAATGTAGATTATCATAGAATATTTGTTCATTTCTAGTTATTTTCTTCTGGTCCATTTTGTTTGCACTTATTAATTGTGTTGAGAATTTTATTTTATTTTGGGAGCATTTACTTCTTGCTGTTGGCTCTTAGTTCTCCTTGTTTTGTAAAACTCACTTCATGCAGTGCCATTATTGGTGGCATAGCGGTAGATGTCCATTGATGAATATTCTGGTTACGTGCTATAATTTGATTGGCATTTAAATAACCTATACTTCTATTTGTTAACAGTATACATGAATAATTTACTTCATAATCAACTATCAAATGTAATATACATAATAATAATACTTGCACTATTCACCTATAAACCAGCTATATATCAATTAATTGACTCTAAAGAAAGAAAAGTATGTAAAAATACAAATGTGGTCCAGAATCGAGAAGTATCAAGAGGTGTAAAAAGTATGTGATGGTGGCAAATACCTACTGCATGAAAACTTTACAAATGTAGATCAGTGGATTCCAGGCCCATAGATATTGACTTGTACTGTACACAAGGTACCTAGTGGCCAACTTCTTAAATCAAGAATGTATCCTCCTTTTTATTTATTTATTATTGTTGTTAGTTATTTCAAAATTGGCCATACGAACAATTGAACCTTCATCAACGAAGTGAAAATTCAAATAGTCAATCAATTATGCTACCATAAGATTCCTCAATCCAAAATATCTCTCACAATTATAGATCTAGACTAGACTAGACTAGAGAAGAAAAAGATGATTAAGCAAGTACTATATACAATGGAAAATAAAGTATTGAAAAGCATATTCTTGACTCTTCAATTGATGAATGAGCAACCTTTCTGGTATTTACTTCACGTTTTCCCCCCTATAAGTTGGGGCACATAGTTTTTTTATATATATTTTTAAAATTTATATATAGAAATGACAAATGGGGACACGTAGGGCTAGCTTGTTTTACATGGTCATTTAAATTAAAGTAGTGATTAGATAAAGTAATAATCCAGTACTCATATGATGTCAGGTTTAAATTAAAATTAGATAAACGAATATTATTATTGCTATAGGCATAGGACCTGGCAATATAAATCTTGCTAGTTTCTTGACTGGTTCTTCCAAAAAGCCAAGCAGTGAGAACAAAAATAGATGTTTTTTTTCTTCTTTTCAATTGGAGAAGTTTTCAATAGCCCTCAAAGGCTTCCAATATTTCAGCTTCCAGCTCAATACTATATAGTATTAAAAAGGTAGTTCGATGCACAAAGCATACCGCATTAGGTAATAGTTGTTACTATTACTAATATATTGTGCGCTTTTGCTGCGGCGTTGAAATGTTGGAAGCTTGCGAGGCCTCTTGAAGCCTTTGCTCCCTTTCTCTTTTACAGAGTACCCAAAAATGGAACTAGAAAAACCATGCATGCATATTGCATGGCCATAGGATGAAGGAGGAATTAAAGAGGACCAACATTCAAATGGATTAAGGTATAACTTTGTTGTCAAATCGAATACAATTTATTGAAATAAAATTTATATATTTGAACATAATTACATAAAAGGTATTACAAGTCTCAAGATTTTTTTAGTTATAAACATTTAAAAGCAATGACTCTCGTCTCTCACAATCTAACCACCACATAAATTGTGATGTATATATACTAATTAGACTTAAATTGAAAGTCTATCAGAAACAGTCTATCTTTCGAGGTAAGAAATACCTCACTTATATATTTATATACGGTGGGAATATTTTGTTAGTTACTCATTTTTTAAAGAGTTATTGTTTATCATACACGCGTCAGTATATAGAGTTTAAATTCATCATCTAAACATTTATTATTGGATAGTTTATTTGGTTAAGTAGAATTGCAGTCTCTATCTAAATATTCATTTTATATTACAGTCGCTAAATATAATATATCGTCAATTATATTATTGTCGTAAATTTATTTATTTATTGTAGTGTACATAATTTTTCAGTCTTAAGTAATCAGATGTCTTGATTTTTGTGTCCGATTAGCTAAATACGAAGCCACCTTTATTAAAGATAAAATAGTTTACTTCTAATATGAAAGTTTTCGATGTAAATCTAAATTTAATTGCATTCAGAATATCAAACAGTACCACATGGAAAAAAAGTGAGTGGGTGGGGCGAGGGTTTGAGGGGGGGGGGGGG